AAAGTTAATGATTAGTTTTTCCATCTCTTTGAAGAATGTTGTTGGTATTTGGATCGGGATTGCATTGTATTTGTAAATTGCTTTGGGTAGAATTGACATTTTCACAATGTTGATCAAAACTCACATACTTTAGACACGTTATCAAGAGGAACCAGTTCCTGGAGAACAACATCATGCTTGGTAAAGTAGAGAGTCAGCAAAAAAGAGGAAAACCCTCAGTGAGATAGATTGACACAGTGGTTGCAAGAATGGGCCCAAGCAGAGCAATGACTGTGAGGATGGCATAGGACTGGGCAGTGTTTCGTTTTGTTGTACATAGGGTTGCTGTAAGTTGGAACAGACTTGAAGGTACCTAACAACAACAAAATGTTACTGAGATTTTGGGGTGTGCCCATGTATATGTGTGTGTTTAATATTCTTTTATCTCACTGGAAAGGAAGGGGGGGAAGGATAGAGGGAGGGTGAGAGGGAAGGATTGGAGGAGAGCAGGAAAGATTTAATGTTATACAAGGCCCAAAGTAGTTAATATGGGGACAAAACAGCAGTTCCCAAATACCAGCATGAATAATGGTTCTCTAATCTACCACAAAATAATGAATTTTTTCCTTAACATAATTCTGCAACTCAAACAATTTGGCTTTTTATTATGAGATTGAGACGTTCCAATGTTCTGGTTTAATGATGCCCGTAGTAGAATAGCTTGACTTGTCTGTCCTCATTGGGCAGAGTGCTGGGGCTTGTGTATATTTTTAAAAGTCTTTACTTGAGAAAAAAAAAAGTAGGCCATTTCTTTGTGCATCTCCGTATTACTTTTAAATTTTATGTATCCCTAAAATCCCACCAATAAAGCATATTCTCTAAGTCTGGGCGATGTAATAACTCAGATATCTAAAGCATATTGTAATTAATTAGTTAAAGACACTGATACAACTTACAAAGAACCTGGAAACCTAAGCTTTCAAATTAAAACCTGTACTTTAAAATGCGGAATGCGGGCAGGAGTGGGAGTTGACTGGGAGCTGCCAGCTCTGCCACTGGGTAGTACACTGAGAAGGTGCATTTTCAAGGTCCCTTCTTGTGAGTCAATGAGAAGGATATAATTTTCTTTCAGCTGTATTATGTTTATGTTTGTAACAGTAATTGTAAAATTTGGAGAATTTAGAATTCTAAGAACATAATACTGAAGTTATTATTCCACAGTTTATTAGTACTGACCTTTGAAATGAAATGTGCCCCTGTGTTCCTTTTTCTCTCCAAAGAAACAAGAATAACTTCCCATTTGGTTGTTACTAATGACTGTGAACCTAAAGGTAATTCAAATTATTAATTTAGGTTTAGTCCCCAAAACAACTTCTTAATGAAAAGATTTATCAATTAATCAAAATTTAAAACACACAGAATCATTTCTGTAAATATGTAAATAAAAGCATTAGCATAACATTCAAGTATATATGCACAGGTAAGAATGTCAAGTCAGTAAAAATATTTAGAATTAAACTAATTTTTGCTAGCAAAACAGGTTACAATTTTTATACTTACTTGTATTGGGTATACAGGATATTTCCCGTTGTGTTGATGAGGGAATTATTCTGAAGTACTTCATCATTCTTTTTCCAAGTCACATTTACTGCATTCAGATTCCCAGATGTTGTGAACTGGCATGTGAGTTCTACATTAGAAGACCTTTCTAAAGTGATATTTTTTTCTACTGGTACACTGGAATGTTCTATTAGCCACAAAGAAAAAAAAAAGTGAGTTACATACTGGGGCAAACTCCAGTATATAAAACAGCTTAAATGATCAACAATAGTGCTCTATCAACAGTTTCTTAATGTAACATTCGTTTGCTTGAAGAACTGGTCCTCTGCCCACACAGATTTGGTTCTTTTCTTACTATCTTTAATAGGCACTGCTGGCATTGTTCACAATAGTAAAAAGATGGAAACAACCCAGATGCCCATCAACAGATGAATGGATAAACTATGGTACATACACACAATGGAGTATTATGCAACAATAAAGAGATGCCCATCAACAGATGAATGGATAAACTATGGTACATACACACAATCGAGTATTATGCAATGGTAAAGAACAATGATGAATCTGTGAAGCATCTCACAACACAGATCAAACTGGAGGACATTATGCTCAGTGAAATAAGTCAATCACAAAAGGGAAAATACTGTATGAGACCTCTACTGTAAAAACTCATGAAAAAGTTTACACACTGACTTCCGGGCAACATGGCGCTATAGTCAGAAGCACCATGCCATCTCTCCACAGCAAAGATCAGAAAAACTAAGTAAAACAGGGTCACACATCAATCCTGAAACCCTAAGCATCAAATGAAGAGATACAGAACTCAGCCATGCACCGAATAGAATAAGAAACTGACCGAGAACAGAGAGTGAGGAGAGATACACGCAGAGGTCCCCTATCAGCTACTGCAGCACAGATCTGCCATCTTGGACTCCTATTGGAGATCAGCAATTAGGGGGTATGAGAAAGCAGCTTCATGGAGCTTCCAGCAGGAGACAGAACAACCAGTAATCAGTGATATAGGCTTTCCCACCCCCCACCCTTCTTCACCCCCACTTAGCCTCCTCTGCTTCCTGCAGCCACAGTCTCTTGGACGGGAGGCACCCTGGTGTCACTTGGATTCCAACCGCCCGCACTGGTCAGCTCCCTGAGTGCCTTTTGTTGACTGCTGGTGTTGCTTTTTTCCACCTCTTTAGACTTCTTCTTTACCCCTCACCACTTCCCCCTCCTTCCTCTCAAATACCTGGCTCCATGTGCCATCTTTTCTTCCTCCTGAAAGGCTGCGAAATACTGACTGACTGTGAAACTGCTTCCCGGCCCATGCTGCTAAGCTGGTAGGACCCCTGGGGATTTTTTTGTTTGTTTGTTTGCTCTGATTAGCTCTGTGATTTGTATGTTTTCTTTTTCTGTTCTTGGCTTAGAAGCCCCTTCTAGCCGGGCAGCAGTTTGGAAGCTACTCCCTTACTCTGCGCAGACGCACAGGGACAACCCTGGCGACATTTCTTTTTCTTGTTTTTTTTTTTTTTTTTTTTTTTTCGGTTTATTTTTGGTTTTTTTTGTTTGTTTGTTTTGTTTTTTCTGTCTCTTATTTGCTTTTTGTCTTTCTTCATTTCCAGTTTCTCAATTTATTCATTTTTTTCTTTTACGCTTTTTCTTTTTAATTTTTGTTTTTCCTCATTTCTCAGTCTCTCATCTCTCCACTCCAATTGCAAGCTCCCTTAGCACTCTTTTTTGTTTGTGTGTATGTTTTTGGCTCCCATTCCTCTCTCCTCTCTCTCATCTTTCCCATACCCATCTTAGCTCCACACATCACAATCTACCCCCTCCTTCCTGCCTACCTTCACCGTGCGCTAAACATCATGCTCCCAAGCAACACAGGCATGGCCTACTGGAACCTGCCCTACACTGATTCCTGGTCCGCACTGTCAGCCCTGGTACGTGCCACAAACAACCCATCCTAGCAACTCCCCATCAGCTGGACCTGCCCTGTTATACCATACCTGAGTGACTGACTGCCCACTGGAGAAGGACGTGAAAAGTATTGTGCCCAAAGATCAGCAAACAACAAAGAACGCACAGCCCACCTGCTCAGACATAACCAAATAAAACAAAAAAGCTGGACAAAACAAACAAATCTACAGTCAATAAATGAGGAAAATAACCACTGAATGCCCCGAAGACAGCAGACAATATCAAAACATTTACAAAAACAGGACAAGATGATTCCAGTAGATGTCCAAAATAAATCACCAGATGACTTTCCAGTAGAAGAAAAGGCACTAGACCTAACTGATAGGGAATTAAAATCTCTAATATTCAAATTATC